CGCGAGAGCCGCGCGCCGCGCCGCCATCTTGGCTGAGGGCAGCGCTGAGGGCAGCGCCCGCCCCGAGCCACTGGCGTGTGCCCGGTGCCCTGTACAAACCCCCGGGATGTGCCCGGAGCCCTGCCCAAACCCCCGGGATGTGCCCGGAGCCCCTTCACAAGAGCCCCCGGGATGTGCCCGGAGCCCCTTCACAAGAGCCCCCGGGATGTGCCCAGAGACGCCGGGACGTGCCCGGAGAATACGGCATGTGCCTAGATCCCCTTCCCCGAATCTCTGGGATGTTCCCAGACCCCCTTCCCAGAGCTCGGGGATGTGCCCGGAGGTCCCGGGATGTGCCCGGAGCCCCTGGCCGAAGCATTCGGGATGTGCCCGGAGCCCCCTGGATATGCCCAGCCCCTCTTCCCAGAGCCCCCGGGGATGTGCCCGGAGCCCTGCACAAACCCCGGGGATGTGCCCGGAGCCCGAGATACTCCTGGAACTCCCGGGATGTGCCCGGAGCCCTCGGGAGCCCCTTCATCCTCCGCTCCATCCTGCTGCAGTCCCACCATCTCCCCCTGCCTTTTTCCCCTCCCAGCACCGGCGTTCGCGGAGCTGTCAGGGAATATTTCAGGGAAAAAACACATTTTTCTCCTCCTCAAAGCATGCGGCCATCAGCTGTGCCGTCTGGAGGGGCAGCAGGCTGACAGCATCCTCCTCTCCAGAAAGGGGCTGGAGGCACATTTATCACGTTAACACTTGTCACACTTCCCACAGCTAGTAACACCTGTTCGTCCTGTTTGCCTTGGATTTTAGATTCCAAGCACGATGCTGTGTCTCGTGGGTGCCCAGCCTGGATCCCGGAGAAGTGCTGGAATTGTTGTTCATTCCTGCAATCAGTGTCGGTGTCTCACAGCCCCAAGGGCAGCAGCTTCCCAGGACTTTGTTCCAACCCAAACCTTGAATTGCCGAGAAATTCCCTTCAGGAGCCTCAGAATGTACAGGTTTTAATTGTTGGAGATCTTGGATCCAGCCTGAAAATTTACAAGTTTTAATTACCGGTGATCTTGTGTCAAACCTGAAAACTTTCAGGTTTTAATTATTGGTGATCTTGTATTGAGCCTGAGAATTGACAGCTTTTAATTACACCATAATCCAAATCCCAGACTGGTTTGGGTTGGAAGGGACAAGAAATCTCATCCAGTTCCAATCCCTGCCA